TATATATAGGGGCCTAGGCCTATATATATTTTTTTTCTTATATGTGATTTAATGAAATAATAAAATCACCCTAAAACAGCATAAAAAGTACACAAAGCTGAGCAAAATGTTGTCAATTTTGGTTTTAAAGCTTAGGTATGATATGCCTATGTATATGTTTATGCTGAACACACCAAGATCCGAAGCAGACGCCTAGACACGTTGTTAAACGTGACAAAAAATCAACAACAATAGTGCATATTTTTATATGGAATATCGCATATAGATCTAGAACCGGGTAATAGTTATATGCACTCTAATGAACACTCATTGACTTTTGACCATTATTTTTACAAGGATTTCACGCAGACATTAAGATATAGATAGACTTTAATTGTCGATTTAATCGCCCACATGATTATTCGTTAAAGTACACAAGTGATTTTCATTATCCTGGAATACTTGGATTATGTACCACATCCTGATATTAAGAATGAGTAAATAAAGTTCGACCACTATTTTTGCAAGGATTGCACGCAGACATTAAAATATAGACTTTAAATTATTGATTTAATTGCCAACATGATTATTCGTTAAAGTAGGCCTACACAAGTAATGTTCATTATCCCGGAATACTTGGATTATGTACCACATCCTGATATTACAAATGAGTTAAATAAAGTTAAGAGGTAAAGGTTATGATTCTTTAGCTGTTTCCGAGGAGTGGAATATTCAGTGCATTTAATTGTTTTGGCACGCTAGCTAGGTATGAAATGTTGAAAATATTTACGATGCAATCATTACAACAGTGTTATGAATTTATGGAGTACGCTAATGGTCATAATAAAGCACCATATTTTTAGATTCGAGAGCGGTGCTTATTAACAATCATTGGAGTATTAATGATATCATACATATTGTAACAGGATACCTGACTTGTTGCAACATAGGCCTAATTTTTTTTAATCGTGAGAAATCTGTCTTTTAATCATGTCCCAATAATACGAAACAAGGCAAGTTAGGTAAAATTTACTCTAAAGTTAAGCGCCTCGACGTTTATTCAAAATAGATCTAAATCAATCGCGGCGCTTAGGCTGGGTTTACACTGTAAATCGAATCAGAAGCGTTGAAGCACAAATATATGCACAACTTGTGCTCTACTCTAAACTAATTCCTCCATGTGTGAACTAAGCTAGCGAAAAAGTCACGTGGTGCGGTGCTTATGCTAGAGTAGCACTCTTTTGAGATGTACTTGTACTTGATAACTTAGAGTAGGCCTAATCTTAAGGGGAGCTGAGTTTTCTATGGAAATCTGTCGATTGGATAAGCCTATTATTAATATTTATTGGCTGTGGGTTTACGACACAGCAAACTTAAATAATCTAGGCATATTAGCACTGATTTAACCTCACTCAGTGGCCTATATTCTGTTAAGAACAGACTGTAAATTATTCATATAAAAGAAATGTGTCTTCTCTTTGAATATTATGGCATATCCTTTCACAAAATGTATAACAATTTCTTAAAGGCATAGAAATACACATTTAAAATAGTATTGACCGGTATTGAAGAAAATATCGATGTAAATGTCAGCTCATTATCTCGTTTGAATTTGAATATAAATAGAAAACGTATTTGGAAAAGCACATCACGATGTGTGAGGCCAGAGTCCTTAGGGTACTCCAGATCTATCCAAATAATATGAAGTTGAAGCATTGTCTTTTTTATTGGGTCTAAACTGGTTATGTCGATCGACAGGTACCACTGAATCAGTGACCAACACAATAAGTACAATCTAAGAAACATAAATTAGGCATGTATATTAGTATTTTAGTAAACAGACGTGCAGTCTCCAACTCAGTTCAAATATTGACGACATTATTAAAGATGCTACTGAACGCAGTGTGGAGCTATTTAAATAAATCAAAAGCTTTCAATTAGCAATCAGAACGATAACATTTTCCTCTCCAATTAGGCTAATAGATACATTTTAATAATAAGCAATAACGTTTTTAATTTGGATAGACCATTATATTCAACAGGCTTTATTAAAACGTATTTCGATTCAACGAAAACCATACTGTTATATAAATATTTTTTTCTTTTAAATTCATTAAGTAATCTTGTTGAATAAGCAATTTGTTTTAATTTTTTTTTTTAGTTTTCAGAAATTAGAGAAAAACGGTAAATATTATCTTTAAGTAGGCCTATAGGCCTACAGGTCTACTAGAATGATGGAAATATGACTTAACATCGGCGGTTTCATATTAGTAACTTATTATTATTGTTTATATTATTGTTGGTCTTTGTTCAATAAAACACATAAAAATATATAAAACACGGGCCAGACTCTGAGTCATTCAGTGGCATATGGCTAATCGGTGCAGCCACAACATTATCAGCTAACTCGTGTTACTAATTACGCCATCCATTAGGGGAAGCACCATACATGTATTGTACAAAAATTCAGGCAATGCAAATTTTTTGGGGACTTGATTATAATTGCACAAGACAATTTCAATAATTATACCCGAAACGTTGATTGTCAACGCGTCAAATTATGTTAGGTTCTGCTAGTACGAGCAATTATGACACAAAATCCGTTATGAAGAACAAACAAAAAGTCTGAGGAGAACACTCAAAATCCGCACATCTCATCTACACAAAATTTAATTAGAATATATAGTGTGTTTACTAAAAACAGATTGGAAACACGAGTAGGTCTAAATTGTAAAAGAGCCCGACCAGGTTTTAAAAATCAATGATTGTACGTAGGTCTTGAGAGCGAGATGAATGTAAACAACCTTTGATTTTCCCCCGAATCATGGCTGGGAGATGTAAATAGTACTATCTGTGGCGAACGAGTATCAAGTGCACACTAATGCCAAGCTTCTAAGCTTCCGTTAATATCCTTATAAAGATTGAAATGTAATTTCATCGGACGGATACAGGGTTTGCGCCAGCCGGAGAGCTGCCCCCCCCTCCCTCCCCTTCCCCAGAACGGGAGAAAAAACACAATTCGTCTGGGAGAAAAAAAAATTATATGTATTTTCTACATATTAGTAGACTCTAAAATCGATTAAATAAGTCTTTGAAACCCCCTCCCCCTCCCTGTCGGGGACCTCGGTCCCTCGTCAAGCAAATCCTGGCGCCACCCCTGGGCGGATACTGGTATGCTTCAATATTTTTAAGATTATCATCATCATCATCATGAACAGTATTATCTTCTTCGCCATCATCATCATCTCACGCATTTCATACACAGGTTCTCATCCCAAACACGTCACTAATCCATTAGCTACAGTCATTCACTAAACCGCATCCTATATTTAGCATCTGTGACCAAACACTTCGGACAAAAAGTTACTTGACCTAAAGCAAAAGTAATTAACCTAGACAGAATCTGATCTACCATGGAATCATAAAAATTGGCAGTTTATCGACCTAGCGCACAACGGGCTATAGTACTAAAGAATAACATATTTTCTTCTGTATTTTTTAATCAAGCATGTACTTTCTTTTTGTGTATGATGACTTTAAGGAAGCTCAACAGGCTCAGTATAGTATCATGCAAATATGGTGGAATTGTTATATGATTTATTATTTATTGATCTGGTTGTTAAACATCAGATATATAAACAAAATATTATTATTTTAATGGGCAATACAATATTCTGCTATGTAGTCAGTTATAGGGAATAATAACATCAACAACCATGTCTTCAAAAGGCCTTACATAATGGTATTTACGTGTATCACTACATCATGTTTTGATTTGTCTTTAGTTAAAATATTATGATACTCCTGGCGTGCTGGTAAATCAACTTATTGTAAATTTAGACATTTCCATAATACTGACATTATAGGCCTAGAGGAAGTATTGAAATAATAAACAGTATCATGATTGATACTTCAACAACATACCGTATTACGTTTACCAAACTACATAAATATTACATCTATGACCAAAATCAATGTTTAAGTTTGTAATATATTCTTTATTAAGTTGCAAATAAAAACCGATTTTCTGGAAAATTAAAAAAAAAACATGTTTGCCGTATTCGACATGAAAAGTGCAAGGCTAATTAGGCCTATGCAATGGTTTCATTGATGAGGAGCTGCCTAATCATCAGAAAATCCAATCACAAGAATTGTCTAAACTGCACTCGTGTGTATTGTTGTATTGGCTAAGCTTGCGCCAATCTCCAACTTATTGGACGCGCTGATTAAATTCTAGGACACATACCAAAGATACAGGAAACAAATAAGTCGTAATACGAAAATAATTAAAATAGACTCACCTGGCGTGTTGGTAATCGAGCATACGGCCAAATTTTCTGCTTTAATAACGGTCAGCATCAGGCTCGTTGGTTTCAGACATAAAGAGACGGTCAACGTTCCATTCACCTGTGTGATTACGATGGTGAAACATGAAAGTGAAACAAGTTGTTGACGTAAAATGCGCTTTATACTGCGTAGGCGTAGGCCTACCATGGAGGTATTATTATAATACCTCCATGGGCCTACCGTGGGTCTCTGCTTTTTAAAAACCGATACAGTATTTATAGAAGGTGACCCTTCCAGCGTATCCTAGAAAGGCTACTGGTATCATAAATTAAATAATGTGATGGTTTTTATCAGCGTAGTCTCATTACGAGGCTTGGGTAATGGAGATGTGTTTTAGTCGTGAGAAAAAAAATCATGTTCTGTCACAGGATTTGAACTAGGACCCTGGGATTGGAAAGCAAGCGTAAGGCATAATACAGTAATGTCATCTAGGGTGTATCAACATGAATCTGAGACAATGACGATATTTTGAAGATATATAAAAAGTGGTTGAGGCGATATAATCGATTGTTTCTTCCAGCTACTACCGAAACACTTTGTTTTTGTCCAGAATTCCTTGACTTTGATTTTGTCGTGTAATGGTTATAGAATGCTGTACTTTTCAGCAAAGACAAAGACACAAGAGTTCGAGCCTTGTTAGCAATTTTTTCTATGTATTATCATGAGAATTAGCTACATAGCATAACCCATAAATCAATGACAATATTATTTATTTCAATCGTCAAGTTTCATTATGCAAATGAGGAAAAGCCCTAACGATTTGTGTTACGAACATCAACCTAGTTTTTTTTAATCATGATATTTTTATCATTGTATTTTTGTATTTTTATATATATCTTGCATAAACTCGCTTTGTTCACTAGGCACCCATAAAACAATAGACTTGGATATGATTTCGCTGTGAAATTAATGTATACTTTTTAATCTTTAGACAAGAGGGATGTATTTAAGGTGGTAGAGGGATCAGTTAAACAGTTGAAAGGAAGTATAACTCTTCACTCTTCTTTGGGAGAAATGATTAAAAATAAATTTATTCTCAACTCCACTAAAACATTTATGAACACTGCCTTCAATGTTTGTGGATTAACAAGACTCCTCAATAGATGTGGCTGAACTCTGTCTTTGTACACGTACTGGTTTGAATAGCCGCAATTAAAGAAAAAGACAATGGACCTTTCCCTTTCCGAAGTAAAGCCCAACAATTGTCCAATCAGAACAGGAATACGCACATGTCCCACAAACATACGGTGAATAGACGGTCAGGTAACTCTGTGTTGAACAGTATTTTTATTCAGGAATCAAATATTTCATTTTATTTAGCGTAACTAACAAAATTGTATGATACAGATTAATATATTTATTGCAAATATCTATTCTGTATCTGCCAACTTCAATAGTTACGCTTGAGGATTGACAAGACGAGATACGGTATTCTGCTGTCTAACTAAGCGTTTTCGCATTGCATTTTAATTTTTGTTTTTATTATTTGAACCGTGACGTGAATCAATATGACATACATGCATACACGCATGCAGGCCCGTCATAAATACATACATGGGCCTACATACATACATGTATATATGTATACCGGTATGATATATATAAAATGAGATACAAATTTATATACATGGTATATATACAAATTTTAAAAGTTAACTGTTTAACGGTAAACTTCGACAGTAAACTTACCGTTTCTGAATTCCATGGGTTGACATTGGCTTTGATGTCATAACTTTGACCATCGTTAAGGAAACCCAAAGGTTGGATGATGTTGCCAATGTATTCCGCTCGCCTTAGATTCGATCTCTTTGACATTACCTTTATCCTAAGATTTAAATGTGCGAGTTCCACAGGCTTCACGTTTGTAAATATAAACGTTTGGTTGAAATGAGGGTCACGTGTGCCTTTTATGTTCATTGTCTTGTGTTTTCCATGGGCTTTAGAAGGTGTTAAACTCAGTTTCAACATTGGATTTATTGGACCAACGTGGACACTGCCACCTAAATTTTCGGCACGAATTATACCAACCTCTAACCTTTCGCTCTGTCGGTAATAGCAAAGCTTCATATGAACATCGCCCAAGTCCATTAAATAGCTTCGTCTCCTCATACAGTGTAGATGCAATTTTTCAGGTTGCTCTGCACGTAAAGAACGACTCCGTGACCGATGGTATTGAACTAATGGTACGGGTATTGGGACAGAGCATCGTCTTTTGTCTATAGATCGGGACCCACTAGGTGTCGATGGAGAAGAGACCGGTCTGGTGGGAACACTTAAGCCTATAACTTCGCCTGGTAGGCCTATTGAATATATGTTTCCATGACTTTGACTAAACGGTACTTTTCTTTTAGATTTCGTAAACGTTGGTGAGTTACAGAGTGATAAAGAATTATTTGAAGAAGGAGAAGTTCCTGTACTTGACCAATCGAATAAGTCTGTACCTTCAGAGGATGATGGGCTGGGTACGTTTGGATAGCCAAGTGGTTTGACCTTCAGGTTTTGCTCGGTTGTTTGACGCTGGTTCTTTTTACGATAGAGTGATTCTTTCCTAGACGTTGTTGGACTTTCTGACAAAAAGGAAAATCCGTATGGTGTTGTCTTCATCTGAATGTGTGACATTGTCTCGGCTAACATACTATCTGGAGCACTGCTAACATATTCGGGCGCCCTAGGCGCTTCTTCTGATGTTTCACTTGTACTGAATATTTGTAGTCGCGGTAACCGTTTCTGAGGTATAACAAATTGTGGTACAGTATCTGGTGTAATAATGATCCCATTCAACGGGTTTATTGCAGCTTTCTTGGGTTCTCGTACCTTGGTATGCGCTAATGGACACAAGTGCAATACTTTCGTTTGGTGATGGTTAGCGTTCACGCACTCCATAGTGAACATGCGTTCAGGTAATAAATTCCCTCAAGCAAGTGATGAAAACGATCGGGAGCGTATCCACGAACAGCTAAGCAACACAGCGATACCTATTATAACCAGTTAGCCGTGTTCAACTGGAATATATAACAGCCCTGATCATGCGCAGTCGTCATTACAAGTGATAGGCTACTGAGTAGTCTGGAAAACGTATAATCACGAGAATCTGTAGATGATTATTAATTCACGCTTGTATCTGGCACGTGTCAAGCATTACCATAGACCTAATTGTAGTGGCCTAGATGCTATAGCATCATACACCATGGAATATCCCCATATAACATATATGAATAATCTAACCGATAAAATTAATTTGTATACATCTCTTGAATTTTCCAAGAGTTTGTGTTAACCCAAAGAGGTATATAATTTTACACTGAAAGACAATGAAAGCAAATGCATTTGTTTGTAAAAAAGGGACGACGTGGTCTGCAAATTTTACCACTTGCTGCAAAATTCTGCAGACGGCCTGTAAACGTTACTCTCCTTTAAAAAAACCAGAGTTTGCTATGTGCCAGTGGAGTCCGACGTGCTCCACAGATTTGTGATGGCCCGAGTCTATTCCTATACTATATAAATCAAAATACCGAATGACTTCTTACCGAATACCCGCAGTATAATACCCGTCTATTTGCTGGTGATACATTGTGTCAACACATCATTAAGTCCCCATAATGCATCCCTTTTCCACAATGGAATATGAGAAGTGATGTTAAAATTACACAAAAATAAAAATATTAAAAAAATAATAATAAATCAGTAAAAAATACATAAAAACTCGACTCGAACTAGGCTGCAATGGCAATTACTGAGATTTGTATTAGGCCTATGCTAAAGAGCTCGACCTGCGGAGGTCAGTGCATTTTTGTCTGTCTACCCTGCGTAAATTTATAGGTCGGAGGGTGAAAATATGTTAATGCATTTCACGGTGATTTTGTGTTTACCATAGCAATAGCTAGTAAAACATACACGAAAAACAAAAACGAAATCATACTGAGCTAGTTTAAAACACCTTAGATAACGCAAATTAATTTGTTTATCAGTATTCAAAATATATAGAATGACGTCATATTTTTATATGTACATCATGGTCTTTCCTTGGACAAAGTTTGAAGAAGATTGAAGCTCGAGTACTTTCGACCATCAGTACTGATGTATATGTAATAAAATGTAAATAAAACCGTTTTTTTTTAAATATGTAATGGATTTAAAGTCTAGTCAACCTATTTGAATATTGATACTGTACCGTATATACATTTATTTATATACAATGATCAGTTATCCTTTCCATATTGATATTACAATGAAACAAGTGCTGTATGGGGTTCTTTTCGGAACGAGTGCTGCAAATTTTGAGAATTGCTACTATAAAACAATAGGACTACAGAAAACATTTTTCAACTATGAAATCCTGTTTAAAAAAAAGAAAGGAAATCATTTAAATTAAAATTACAGTAGAGTATTGTTTAATTCCAACACAGCATCCGAGAGAACATCAGTCTGTATCTTGTAGTGTATTGATCGGCATTAAATCACATGAACCATTGAACTTCATCTTTGAAACTAATTCATGTACAGTATATACTGTAGGATTACTGTACTATCTCGAAAAGAAGCCTATACTACCTTGAATATAATAAATTTACACTTGGCGCCTCATATTTTGTGAGTATTTGGCGGTGCAAGGACATGGCATTTCAAACAAGCTGCATTATGGCAAAAAATCCTTTTTTTCTTAAATGTTTTCCATGACGGCGGAATGGATATTTCACTTCATACGTTCCGATAATGGAAGATACCAGTAACATTGAAGGCCGCTTGCCTCTAGTGTCTTTTTGAAATATTTATATTTTGTTCTGATGCATTTCCCTGGATTTTAATGGCACAGCCAGAAAATGACTGAATACTACTCTTCGTTAAAATACCCGCCATTTTTCTTTAAATCTCAACTTCGTAAATCCAATATACATATTAAGGTAGTTGAAAAAAGAAATTTAATTTTTGAATTTTCTTTTTAGCTGAAGGCAGACAGTTCATCTTTAATTTTATAGGATACCATGACGCTTAAAACTAGTAGTAGGGTTATTATTGTTGTTATCGTCATCATTCTTGGTAATGATATAGTTTTAATATCACAATATAATTTACAGTGGCCATACTGTATGTTACTAAGTAGATTATTACACACTTTTACGGGCACATAATTGTTCGTTCCCTGAACAGAAGGAAGAAAAGCTAGTATAATAGTCGAGTCGTGGGCATATCGAAATAGGCAGAGCTAATGTTTGTTATTCTGCCTGAAACATTAACATTGTGATTTTCGGGGGAAAAAAATAAATAAAAGATAAATGTTTACTTGGGCTGCAGAAAGTTAGACTTTAATTGGAGAAGTATTTTTTAGGAAGCAGACTTTTAATAAATAAAGAATGAGAACACATCAGAAGTTTCCAATTTAACACTTTTATTCTCATGTAGCATTCTTGAGTTTTGAATGTCTATCCTTATTTTGAAACTATACTAATTATATTTATCAACATAAATATACAACTACAATATCGTTTTCCTCAAGTTTCAATATACTGAATATCGATCGGTTATAACAATTCATTACAATTGCGATGAAGATACAAAGTAAAGCAAAAACAAACCATTAAGTATCGATAATAATCGATAGGATATTGGTAACAAAACATTCACATGCATACATTATTTATCAATATATGATATTGATTCCTGCTTTACACATGCCTATCTATAATTTACAATAACATCAATAATCAATAATTAAAAATTTGACACAATCTTGGTAATTCCGATCACACATACATATATACATACATATATATATATATATTATACATATATATAATTAATTATATGTATACTTGTATATACACTTAGATAAACTATCTTTTTGTTCTCACAAACACTTGGTTTGTGTCAAAACATTTGGCTATCAAATATACACCATACCTAGGTACTTGATCTCAATAGCCATTTATCTGCTTAGTTGCCATTGTCAAATACCTTTTGTTTTCCCTTACTATGTTAATAATCCAATTCACCTTTAACTTGCAAGAAATAAAATAGTTGACACCCATTGAAATTTGATAATTAATACAAATGAAATAGAAAGAACTTTAATAAATCAAGATCACGTCTATAATTAATTAGATATAAAAGAACCATCTATAACAATTGCCATTATATATCACATATAGTTTACCTCTTGTATTCCAATTCAGTGTGGCATATGTATAACAATACCTTTCATTATATATTTACTGTACAATAAGATTCTTTTTTTTTTTTTTTTATGGTAATCATAAACAATGTACTGTAGTACATATTATTAATTACAATACGGTACCTACATTTAATGGTCTAATCTTTAGACTAACACAATCATACTGAATTGTTTGTTATTGCTAGTAAAAATGCAATAAGGAAGTTTCGCAAAATTACAAAAATGATAACAAATACGCAGTTGCGTCATCAATTTCAGATGGTCTTTTATCTGTCTACAGCACATTGGCATTAATTTAAATTTAATGAACATTATCAATTATGTTCTTTAGAAAAACTAATATAATTTTAAAGTATTTACCAACTTGACATTCAGATAATTAAATTTGAATTTCAACAACGTAAGGCAACTAATTTACTATATATATTTGACGATATTGTCAGCTGTGCTGCCTCAATATTGTATTCATGACGTATTCATTATCATTTTCTTAAGGTTGCGAAAACTTCCTAATATTTACATCTAACGACAGATAACAATAAAACATGGAAATTGGAAAGTCCTCACATTTCTCCAATGGACCCAGCTCGGCAACATACTATCATATTATATTTTTGTTCATTTATTTTTCTCTGGGGAAGGACACTTCATACAAAAATGAGTTTGAAATTTAACAACCCACACCTAAATTCAAATATTGAATAAAACAACATATTACTTTTACTGTATATTACTTGGGAAATATGTCGGTGGGTAAAACAGTAATGTCAATAACAAATATGTAGTTCTAAAACATTGAACATGATACTAAAAGCAATATATAACAAAAATTATAAATAAATGTAAGTAATAACTGTAATTACTTATATAAAACAAACCTGCCATAATAATTATAAATAAATGGAAGTACAGTAATTACTTCTATAAAACAAACCTGCCATAATAGAGAATATTAAAGAATTGATTAATTAAAAAAATACTGCATAGGCTACAATTTTAATCAAATTATTGGTTAAAATATTTAATCCTTTACTTGGAAACAAAATTATTAATTTCGATCGCATTTTTCATGACATCACATTACTGTATTCAAGCCAAGAACAACATATATTACTTTAATAATAAAAAATTTGGTCAAAACTGATACACCTCTAATCACCCAGTCAATAGTCAACATGGAATGGAGCTGATGGAATTATTAAAAGCAACATTCTTGGAATGAACAGTAGAAAAGTTAACATAAGTACTGGTAGACACACTGACACGCACGCAAAAAAACTGTTCATACCTTTTGTCACCTCTTAGGGACTGGAAAGAAGAGTCTATAATCTTTGCTGCTTATTGTCTGGAGAAGAGACTAATATCTATTATTCTTTGTATTGCCAGAAACGGTTCCTATTACACAACTAAATTATACGGGATCAACAAGAGTATTCTGCCGAAAGTCAAAATTTACCAATCCACAATAATTACAGCTAAAGGCAGTTGTTTTCATATATAGAAAGCAACATAAAAGGCTACTATGGTCTAATACAGGTGATATCAATAATACAAAAGGTAATATTAATAACAATAATATATTTATTAGGCCTATATATATATGACAATGATAAATATTTTTAATGGATAAAATTTAATCATGCACAGTGCAGTAGTTTCCTTTGTAAAAATCAAAATGTATTGTGGGAAGATCAGTAAAATAATTGATGATTACTTCAATTTTAGTAAAAGAGCTTGAATTTGGGTCCCTATAGTCACAAGGGGATACATTAACAACTATAATAGACTGCGGTTGGCGAACGATACATATTTCTTTTTCTGTATTTCCTTAAAGCCACCACAGATGTGTAGTGCAGAATTTTTTTTTTCCTTCTCAATAATTTTCAGCTGTTGAGTAAATTAATGTGAATGCAGTGCACTATTGCTAGCATGATCTGGTTCCATACCGGAATATAATACTAAACCATATTCATATGGGAATCGCAATGAATAATTGCTATGAATTGGTAATGGAAATTTATGATTCAGATATATTGTAAATGCAGCCATAACATCTATTGTAAGCTCAGGAAATTAATGATATCATTTTAGAATGCCTTACAAGTAACAAGTACAATTCAAAGTCAAAAAGAAAAAGGAAAATACAGTACTTAGATGATCATTTTTTTGATTCTTGCAATTTGATGGGTTAAATTCAGATTTCATGGGATTAAACTAATGGTGCCACTCAATGAAAAAAAAAAGTGCATTGCTCGGTTGACACGTCTGTTTATTGTTAATTTTTTGTTCCATTTGAAAATTTTACTGCAATTTTTGATTAAGTTTAGTGAATTGTGCTGTCATGAGCATACTGGCGCCGAGAAAGCATAAACAATCTGAGTAACAAAGGTTGTAGCTGATGTAAATTCAGGCCTGATATAATTATTAGAAGGAGCTTTAGCAGATCTTTTAGATGATGTACAAGATAAATGAATGTTTGTCATCCATACAATGAGATAGACATATATCTTCATTTGTTGAAAGATGGATGTTATATTCCACTCCTCTATGCCTAATTTGCATTCCATATTTACCTCATGAATATATTCTATCCAATTGCACTCATAAACATTCAAAATTTGTTATTTTTAATATCATGTTATTAACTTTTAGATAATTTTATATCATTATTGTATTTCATTTAATGCTAACAATATTATTTTATACTATTTTAAAGTGTTTTATTTTACTTAATATATTTTTATATTTCAAATTTTATATTATTTATATTTTATCATACCATATATCATATTATATCACATAATATAATACATCACATCATATAATATGAATCATATCATATACCATTTCATTCCATATCTTATAACATATACATATATTTTTAATCAAACAGGGAGTGTATTGCCACTTATTAGGATTGATTGGACTACCAATATTTTGAGGATCTATCAATTCTTAGGGTTTAGGGAATCTTTTTGTATGTTACTTCAAAATCCATTTTTTTTGTTGTTTTTAGCCAATTCACATGATTTTTACATCAAGGTTTTAAAATGTCTTTTAAAATGTTTCTTATCTTAAATATATTTCTGCTCTCTATATACTGTATGTACAAAGATTTTATTACAAGAGCAATGTGATTTACAACCAAATAATTAGTAAAATAATATGCCTTTTCACTCACAAATAATACACATTTCCCATGTAAGTATATGCAATAAATAACTTATTGTAATAATATTGTACATATATTTCACTTCCGGTATCTATAATCATAATTAAAACATAAATACAGATAATTAGCAAAAATCATTATATTTTCCATTAAATACAGATAATTAGCAAAAATCATTATATTTTCCATTTAGTAACAAAAAGTAACTGTAGAAATTTGATTTTGATTTTTTTTTAAATTTTGATTTTCTTTGGAACTGTTAGTCAACAACAAATTTTAATAATGTTGTCAGAAAAGCAATAGAAATTTCTGAGCATAGTGCTTCTATTTATATTTACTTTTTACGTTATATTTTGAACTTTTGTGGACAATCAAAGAATTATATTTAAAAAGTATCGGTGCACATACACATGAACTGAGAAACAATTGAATAAAGACCTCTTTTAAATTTATGTCTATCAAGCGTAATATTTTTCCACTATTAGCAACACTCTCAAATATGTGCTGCAACACTTATTTATAGATTTCACTTGGATTAAGCATTATGGCACATACATGTGCTACCATGTGACCCGACGCCATGTAGTTATTTGATCGTCGAAGTAGTATTATCCTATTTGTGTCGGACTTTCAATGAATGACCAATGAACTGTAGGACACTTCCATTATGTGCCTTCAAACACTACTTACAGTACATTTTTTTTTTAAATATTACAATTATTTTTGTTTTACTGCTAAGCGCAATGAGTCTTTAGCAACATACCATGAAGTGAAAATTACCATTATCATAATCGTTATTATTTGACCCAAAATGAAAATTATTGACTCCTAAAAAGGATACATTATTAACCCTCAAAAAAGGTCTATGTAGGCCCCGCCCCCCCTCCTTTTTTTTTGGAAAGTTAAAAAAAAAAAAAGAAGAAAGAAAAAGAAAAACTTAATTGCCCAGAACACCTCAGAGATTATTTTCGGGTGTCCAAAATACAAAAATTGCATGGGGGTGGTGTTATCTCTGCTTTTGGCATGGCAAACCTCATATGCTATTAGAATCCACTGTACAAACATCTAATTCTGGTAGGGAATTCCTTTTTTTTCTCATAAACCACATTTCAGGTGAACACCGAGTGTGATGTAGGTGTCTACTGTACTGCCTGCTTGCGGGCCAGTAGACACTTTCCATGTATCTGTACCATTGCTTTCAAATTGAAAGATTGAGAGTCTGGCATTGTCGCATGCACAAAATTAACGGTATCCGCCTGCATTTCGGTCGCGCTATTTTGGTTATGCATTTCGGTCGCGGTGTATGGAGCACCGAAGAAGCGACCGCGAATTTATAATAAGATATCCAAAGCAGAATAGGCCTAGGTCTGCCTGCCTGCCGTTTGTTAAACATGAAAACAGTCATTTTTATTTTACTACTTTATGACTAATTGTAATACAGTTTATTTCAGCATCAATTGGTATTACAGTATTTCCTTTTTACAGAAACAGCCTTTTATGATCTTAAGAGTTAACAGTTAATGTAATATTTATGACAGGAGATGTCTGGATACTAGAGGAAAATAAAGGAAAAAAAAGTATTGCAAATATACCATCTAAATTATAAATACTTAAAATATATTGTTAAAATAAAAACGTATGTACATTTATAAATTGTTAAGTAAAAACTTTTCGTCGGCGGAGCACTCCTGTTAGCTCATTAATTTAGGTCCTACCTAAAATTTGTTTAGAACACTACCGAATTTACTTTCGAAAAACATTGTAAATAAGCTAGCTTGTACATCGGCGTTCCATACCGCGGCTGTGAACCACGACCGAAATGCTTAACAATAGGGGGCGACTGAAATGCAGGCGCGACCGAAATGATTTGTATTCAAATGAACTTGCATCTACTATTAGATGTCTGCTGTTAAGTGTTGCTGAGTGTTCAAATAGAGCAACATATAAAATGGGACACCCAAGGGAAGGAAATGGGACACCCAAGGGAAGGAAATGGGCCCAAGTCCTCCCATCATCGGTATATGTTGTAAGAGGTGTTATGGTGCCCCTCGGGATGATCTTGTGTTCACCTACCAAACAACACATACATACATCAGATCTTTAAAGAAGTATTCTAGTCCATTGTTGCATCTGCTATAACATAGAAGTAGCACACTGAGGTAGAATTCGTTCAGAAAAGGGTACTCAATACAATTCTTGGTTGCAACTCAGTACACTGGGTAGCAGGATGCCTTAGACACACTCATCCTAACATCATTACAAAGAACGACAGTCTAATTTAATTATCATGTTTTGTAATAGTATGGTGGAATCAAAACAGTTTGCTATATGTGAATCCGGAGAATAAAAAATCAGAAATGATTTTACCTAGTGTAGAAGTTTACCTCACTGCAAGATCAATCATTTTCTAATAAATAAAATCTATAAAAGCATCAGTCTGAAATACTAGGATGGTGTCCGTTGGGGGACAGTTATTATTGTATACCTCATACGTAGAATCTAGTCATCTGATTGGTTAAGAAGCAGAGCAATAGAAAGTACTATTCCCCTTAAACAATAGTACTTTTTGACCTCTCGCGATGTGCAAACTAGGCCCACTACATTGCGCTGCTGACGGTAAAGGGGACTGCGACCTCTACGATGAGATTAGCCCTTTTTACCGGATCAGCGAGTAGACGATAAACAAATATGGAGGCCGGTCGTTTCAAGACAAAGAAGGACTAGCCTAGGCCTAGCCGATAGCAAAAGCACCAAAAGACAAATTAAATATGTCTTATCAATATTCGAAAAAAATTGCAAGACGATGGGAAATAAGCAAAGAAGAGCTAGACACACTCTTTTTATCGCCTAGGACTAGCTAGTCGAGCAGTAGTAGTAGCGTAGGCCTAGGCCCCTAATAATAGGCTAGGAAGTACAGTAAGTACTTTTAGGCCTCGAAGAATCTATCTATGAGGTATATGAAACAAATATTGACTGCTCTAAATTCGGGGTAAGGTGAAATCTGCCTCTCGGTGATGTGGAGACTGTAGCCTATCTTTGGTAGGCTACGGTCTCCAAATCACCGAGGGGCAATAGATTTCGCCATTCCCCTCATGAGCAGTCAGTATTTGTATACCACATTTAAGTGTATCATGGTGTCAGTACATAGAGCAACCTAATTTCATGTCGTCTTGTGACTATTATGACAACGTTTCTATCAAGCTTGGCAAGCCACCGGAGTCAAATCCCCTTGCATGAGGGCCAATCCACACCACTAATGAACTTAAGACACAATCAATTCCTACACAAAAATGTTCGTACTGTAGAAATCAAATACAAAATGCTCATAACACTAACAAAAAGTAGCAACAGTGACAGTATCCTAAAGCTTAAGACAAATTGATATATTAATAATTAATAGTATTGAAAGAATGAAGTTGGTTTAAATGAAAAATTGAAGATGTGATTGATTACATGACAAAATAATGGTAAACTTTAAGATTTTAGATAATCCAGCAAACATCTATGAATATATTACCTTGATGTTGCCCTCGGCAGAACCAGTTAGGAAGAAATCTTCAGCGGGATCAACTGCAATACATTTGATAGCTGAGTCGTGAGCAGTGAAGGAATGCCGTAGCTTTCGTTGTCGTATGTCAAAAATTGCAACCTCCCCTTTCTTGTTACCAGAGATAAGAACTTGTTGATTGGGACAGTAGATTATAGATGGGCAACCTCCCTCATGACAACTAAATGCTGATAATGACAAGATAGTAATATAGTAATAATTATTTATATTATATATAATTTACCAAAACATATTCATATACTATTTAATTTATAGTTAATTATTAATATAATTTATTATATTATTATACCTGGTAAAATTATGTATGCATATGTGTATATTTTTAAATTAACATATAAAGTATATGTATATATACATAAAGTACAAATAATAAAGTATATATACACATAAATATATTACATGTATATATATATAATTATACATATATAATCAATAAAATATATTATATAAAAATATATATTACATACGAATGTCAGGCATCCTAAGAAAGCCTCTGCATAATAATAATAATAATAATAACAATAACAATAATAATAATAATAATAATAATAATAATAATAATACCAACAAGACGAGTTTTAAAAACCAACCTCTTATATTAGAAGTAAAGTAAGGTTAGATTTTGAACATTAGTTTTTGGATCTATTTATAACTAATACATTTAACAATCTCAACTGATATGAAACATCAAATGGTAGGTAGTACCCTGGGAACTGATGAAATTCATTATAGAAAATGACATCATATTGCACTCAATGATTGGCAGTGATAAATTGCAGTAAAGTGGTTGACTGCAAAGGCAGGATTAGAAAGCCATTCAAAATAATTATTCTCTCAGACTATAGAATTAATTAACGAATACTGAATTCATTAGCGTTGGGACAACACAGCACAATTTGATATCATCAACACCTAGGTCTAAGTTAATATAAATTGTGTAATAATGTATAACAATACGAACACTATATTGTAACTGCCAATACCCCAGCCACCATCTTCAGTAACATTATCAACCATTATCATCACATAATTATTATCTTTAAAACTGTCATCTTTATTGACATCATTACCTACACCATTAACACCACTGTCATCATCGTTAACACATATTATTAGAAGTATTTTATATTTCTCACCATGTATACAAGCTTTGTCCTTTGGCATCAAAGTGTCCCACAAACTAATATTCTTGTTGTCAGATGACCACCCTGCAGTTGCTAGAAGACTGCAGGAGCCCATAAATGTGAAGTCAGACACTGTTTTACTATGACACTGGAGGGTCTGTGGTTGGGAACACAGGTTAATGTTAAATCACATGAAAGTGATTGCATGTAATCTACTATTATTCAATGGCGTATCTAGAAGTCTTGAAGTGGGAGGTGCTGATGGAGGGGGGAGCGAAAGGTGGAGGGGGGTGTGAAGGAGAGAAGTGGGGGGGCTCGATGATCAGTTGAGGTGCGCTAAATAAGGTGATTTTTAACTACTTAAATGTGATTTTTGGGGGAGCGCGAGTAATTTTTTTGTGGGGCGTATGCCTCCCGCACACCCCTAGATACGCCACTGCTATTATTTCATTGCGCATTATGCAATAACTCGGGAAAAAAAACGTGTCCTGATGGGAAAATCCAAGGGTGTATACCACTTGGCCACAAGATCAGTTGAGTGTCTGAACGGTAATTGGAAGGTATTGAGTTTGAATCCCAATAGGGGCCATACGTTTTTCACAAATATTTATAATCAGGTTAATATTAGAAATCACGGCATCAGTAGCAGTAGTGTAGTTAACTAACAGCAGGTTATAGCAATAGATCAATCTTATTATTATTAACTAATTATATACACCATATATATTCAAATAAATTTCCCCCCAGAGCCTCATTTGGAATAAACGCCTCCCTGAAATAAATGGCCTGAGGTGTTTATTTTTTCCTCAAATAAACAAATCTAATGGTAGCAAGATCATTCTTAACATATTCAATTAATGTTCTACTTCAGTAGCAGCAAGCTTTTTTTCAAACCTGGTTAGAATCAATCAATCTTATGATCATGCTATAACACATTTTGACGGTAATTGTGTTAGTCTAATTCAGGAGCGTGTATTTGAGTATACATAAATGCCTCCTCAAATAAACGTCTCCTCGAATAAATTCCCCTTCGAAGACATGCTCAACTATAAACGCCCTGGACATTCATTCAAGTAAATATGTATTTATTTAATGCTACTCACTCAATTTCCTATTATTACTTTAACAACTATTAATACAACTTCATTTTAACATCACTGACAACAGTTTTTGTTGTTTGACTGTGCAGGTATTAATTTTATTTCATTTGAATGAAAAAAAATATGAATGAAATGGCAAATGAAAAAAACAACTCACAAGGAAGGGTTTGGTGATTGATGGTGAATTCATTCCGACCTGCCAAAGACAAAGCTGTCCACTGTCATCGCAAACACCAAACTGAGGAGATAAATAAATGCAACATTTCATTGTAAACCTTTCATATATATACATCATATACATACATATTTATTTAATTATTATAAATATATATACATATTTATTTAATTATTTTATTCAAATTCTGCTCACAACATAGAATAGACAATAGTAAGCAAGGTGGACTTAACATTGAACAATGGCAGCATCAAAGCATTGCATTCTAGATGCTAAATTTAATCACATTTTTTACTTAGTAGAAATATACGGCAGGAACATTTTCTTTACAAGTCATAGATCTTAAAATAAGCACTTCAAAGACTGTAGCATATGTCCATGCAGTGGACTTCATCATGAGAATTTTAAATGAGATAAGCAACATCTATAACTGCGGTCGGCAACCCAAGGGTCGCGACCCAAGTTTGGGTCGTAAGTGAATTTTTGAGGGTCATCAGATCCTCAAAAATCTGATGATGCTCCTCAAAAATCTGATGGTCTAAAAAAAAATTATAAAGAAAGTTTTAAGACTTAAGTGTTAAAATAAACACTTTTTAAAATCAGTAGATTCTCAAGAAATCATCAAAACAAAACATTTTTTTTTATAAAATAATTTGATGAAATGTTGGTTATTGTCTTCAATTTGTGTTAATGTTTGGCTCTTGTCATCCAATTTACAAATTGATGACCTTGATAAAACATCGCTATGCGCCGCAGCGTACCGTTTCTTGAATAGTATTTGTGTTTCAAAATACACAGAAATATTGAATTTTCATACAACGATGACATAAACTCTTGACAATGTTATTTCATTGACCAAAGAATGAGTTACAGTTGAATTAAAACTAATTTATAGCAATAATATATCTATGCAAAATTCATTTATAATATGAAATCAGCAGTAATGTATTTGAACCTAAAATATATGTTCTTAATATTATTTCATGATGCGAGGTTAATAAAATAGAGAGCAGCTTAGCTCAGACAGCTAAATGTGCGCTGAACTGTGGTTTTAAAAAGTTTAAATCCTGGTTTGCATAAGAAATGGAGGAAGGAAAACAGGATATCTTTATTATGTTTGCTATTTTGGAATATCAATATCACACCTATTCTTATCCTTTGGTATAACCATATTTGTCTGCATCAACAAAACAAACAACTCCAGCAATGAGCAGCAATATTATTTCTGTACCTCTACAGTACTTTTGAAGAAAGTGCCCATAGTGATTCTCTTTTATGTCAAATAATCTGTTACGGTTGTTAGTAGCATAACATGCCTATATCATTGAATATATTTCAAGTACTTAATGTTATTTAATTTAACATTGCTTTTTAAAGCACGCGTATTATATATATATGTTTTTATGTTTACATTACTAATGTTTTTTATACACCAAATGCAATTTCTCAACAACATTCTCAATAGTGACAACTAGGGTGTGAATAGAATGATTATTGATATGTAGGCCTATTCTTTCTTTAAAGTTACAGAATTTTAATGTTTGCACTAACTTAATACTGTTGTGAAGCACAACAAAAAATGGAATTTGAAATTACCAAAAACATTTTAACAAGTTTTTTTATTACCAGATATTATCTTTGGCAAGTGACCGAGAGCCCTACTCAAGAGAAAAAATATATTTTGGCCCTCAAATCAAATTAATTAATACTTTACCTTTTTTTTTTTAATTTTTAATTTTTTTATTTTTTAGAATCCGGGGCTTATTCCGATGTTCACACCGGATTCAGGGGAGAAATTCTGGTTTGATGTGAAGTTTATTGCTCAAAATATAAAGGCTAATGATTTTTTTAAAATTTTGAGACTGCTGTAGTTTTTGTGATACAATGAAAACAATTAAGTATCCCCTTAATATAGGTTGAATATTTATTGATTTTACCATTTGCCACACCTAAAGAAGTGTCCCCCACCGACACCGGATGTCCCTTTAATAGGGGTTGGCTGTAGTATACTTATACTAAAAAGTGTCCCCTGAATAGGGGTGTCCCAGAGTAGGGGGTTCTACTGTATTACATTGGTAATATTTTGTATCTTAGATGACATTTCCATGATAACTTGAGGTCTTGGGTTGTGGGAAGCTAAGGTACAAAATTATGGGTCCTTACAAGTAAATGTTTGCTGACCGTAGATCTATAATACAATACAATACAATGTATGGCATAAATTTTCTTAATGCATGCACAATCTAGACAGAAAAAATTCAAAATCAACATCTGTACCTTGAAGTTTGCTTGAAAATGGAATTAAATATATATGTAAATGTAATTTACAATGGAACGCAAACTGAATAAAACATTTTCTTATTTCCTGAACATTATTAGTAATTTGAACGATGAAACTCACCTTGTTGCCTTGAAGATTGAAGTGGAGTTGCGTGACTTTTGGAAACTGTCCAGGGGGCCGATGCATATATATCTTCTGCGAGTGACCCCACTCCCACATGCAGACGCTGCCATCTTGTGAACCACTTAAATCTGCAAAGAGACGAGCCGCATACCAAGTCAGACAAATAAATGCATTAAATGTTTGAAGATATCCCCTCTATGTTGCGCTAAATCTCTGTTCAAGTTTTATATGACAAAAACCTGTCATTTTTTAACTTCAAGTTCAAGATTCAAGAATATTGATTTTACAAAAAATGGAAATTCTATTTCAGTGTAACCATTTTAATACATACAGATACAATAATATATAAAACATTGAAAATATATATATAAAAAAAAAATGGTTAAAATAGAGTGATAAACATTGACTTAGACATTTGAGTTTTATCTTATTGCAAAAGGTATGAGCATTATTATTAAAACCTGTCACTTCCCATAATTATATGGGTGATATGACAGCATCATGACCATATATTGGCATATCACACCATATAAAACTTTAATTAGATGTTGTTTTGCATCAGGCTATTTAATAGAAATGATGTTCATTCTATGTTCTATGTTCATGAATTCTATGTTCATTCATCCGCTATTTAATTAACTTTTGATTGATTGACTATATTTCAAAATAAATCCATGTATAGTGTGTATTATTATTATTATTATTATTATTATTATTATAATTATTATTTGTTATTATTACTTTATCATCATCATCATCATCATCATCATCATCATCATCATCATCATGGCTACATGATAAAAGTGTTTTACTTGTTTTGTGTGCCTTTTCCCAATTCCTTTTGATTTGATCCTTTTACTTACTACAATTGTTATATTTGAATTATTCATATATCGTAATAACGATTTCAGATCCCACCTGTACGATTATATTGTTCAAATCAACCCATTTTCTAACGACAAATTCAATTTTTTAATGAGCGATGGCAACCACTGTTTAGGGTAGCTAAATTTGCCTACCAAATCCTCTCCTTACGGCAGTCTATTGTGTTTAAGTAAATCATATTTTAAGAAAGGTTTGTATATCCTGTTTTTAAAACTTTTTTAATCGTGTTTTTTGCTTGGGTTTTAAAAATGTCCTGTATTTCACTCATAAGCCAGAATTAGCTGGTCTCTGTTTTAATCTGAGAGTGTGAAACAAATAAATCAAGAACTAATATTTGCCAAAAAATGTGTTATGTATAATACTTGAATGACCCTTTAGTGGCTAAGTGTTGAATCCGATCCCCAAGTAGAAGCAGGTACAGTGCTGCTATGATATTCGATGGTGCTCTGTATCACAACATTTAATGATATTTTGCCCTACATATAAAACTTGTTGGTTGAAAAAAGCTTAAGCGTTTTTTGGATGTGAATGGGTTAAGAAACCTGAACCTGAATTAACAATGTAATTGCTTGCTTTGAAAATAATTTTTTCATATTTCATTTAATAACTGGAAAATATTTTCCTCGCCAACACCAAAACAATCCTTTCCACGCTACAATAATGATTTTAAAATATTATGATAATTTCATTCTTGCAAACTCTTAAATTGGCCAGCAGTAAGAATATGTGTAGTAAAAACTTATCAGTAAAAACTGTTCCCATTGGGAACATATTTGATCTTTGTATATTAAAAATTTAATTTTTAATTTAATATTTGTGAATATTTTTTTCCAGATTTTTTCATGGCAGTATACTCAGGAGACAAAACAGAGTTCAATAGGAGGTCATAAATAATTGGGAAAAAATATTATTTAAAGAAAATGCAGATGGACAAATAAATGTGGATTAAAGCTATGGAAAAATAATTGTCAACTTTTGTGCACATGATTATCAGCTTTCTATAAATAAGTTACAAAACAAAAATCAAGTTATCCATCTAAGCACAATCCTAAGTATTTTTAATCTAAATAATTGAACTTAAATTTCCTCTGATAGAATTAATACACCATATCGAAATGCTAATATGGCTAATTCGCTTGTCTTTTGGATAAGTTTAACAACCGCTTATCAACATCAAGATAGAGATTAATGAACTCGGTGTCACCGTATGATCAATATATTGTAGTGAACTTGAAGCTAAAGTAGAACAGCTACAGAAAATTTCAATCCTATTTTTGTACTAGTTGATGAAACAACTGATTCAATTATGCTTTGTAGGATGTTCCACTAACTGTTTGATCGATGTAAATAAAATATTCTTGATAAATTTTTTATAACTTTTGTCACTCCCACTTAAGACGGGCACTCACAGCAGTCGACGGTCATCTGTTGATGCGTGCACCATGTGTGTGCAACGGATCGTTTTTAAAGACAATCCATTCAGACTGCCACCGACAATCAGTCAACGGCACGGCGTCACGTCGTACAGCGCTCTCACAGGGAGAGGATTTGGATTCATCGTACAACGCAGTGGGAGCCTGACTTTAATGTTTTAAACCGTATACTTTTTGTATTAGGTGCTAAAATTATGCACATTAGCTTTCATGTTACATTGTTATATGCAAAATCGAAGAGTCTTTACGAGTCTTGACAACTATACTATACATATACTATTTTAAAAAAAACAATCTAAAACTAATTAAAAAATAAAAAGATAAAATGCAATTTCACAATAACCAGATGTGCGAAATTACAATATAAGTAGAGTGAGCTTTAAATATATACTCTTATATTCAAAGACCATCAAACTAAGTAGACAACCACTTTAATAAATAATGATAATATGTTGGCTTTATATAGCGCATCATGCAAAGACCTATATACGCTTCACATTACTACCTTGTCAATGGATTAAACACCTATGAAACACACGCTCAGTCCCCTGGGTGAGTACTCCATAATGTTGCATCTAGCAATCTGCACATTATTATAATAAATGTATTATCCATATTTATCAGAACTAGCGGTTGTCCTATATAAATTGCATTCAAAACTATCAGGTTTTTACTAGTGGCAGAGCGTAGGGTAAATTGTAGCATATGCTAAGGCCTGTTAGTGGGAAAAATTTGTTTAGCCTACAATCAAAGACTGCATCAAAATAAAATTTTACAAATGAATATTCTTTTTTATACCTGCATGGTTGTCATAGCATATCATGTATCTTACCATTTCAAATTTACAAAAACAAAAATAAAAAAACAACTCAGCAGTACCTGGTAGGATTTCTCAAAAGAGGGCAATGCCTAACTGTCTGGGAAACGAAGAAACAGATGTAACAGAAATATCAAAATAATTGTTTGTAAAGCACTTAAAAACTATAAACGAAACATTATTATCACAATTAAAATTATTATCATTAAAATTATCATTATATTGATTAAAATTGGAATGTAATTTGATGGAAGCAGTTTCCTCTTTCAAAAGAATTCCTGTTCCTGTGCATTTAACAAATAAATATTTCTTATATTATCGGTCATATGTATGCAAATTTATTTTAACTTTATTCATTGAGATTACAGAATATCTGGTAATACAAATAACCGATTGGCAGTAGAGGTCCTGATTATAGCTACTGTAGAGAGAAGCAAGCAATGAGAAAACGAGCATGCGCACATACTCTTGGAAACAGCGCTTTCACTCCAGTGTAAAATTTGCTATTCATCACCGCGTGGTTGGCGGAATAGAAAATTTTACCATTGTAGGGTATGCTCGAGTCTCACATCTACTGCCTCACTGAATACGCGCGATAGGCTGATATTGAAAACTAGCCATACCGAAATTCTATGCAGGTGAGAGGACGATGCAATAGGCTCGAGTAGTTTAGGTTATCCTAGATACCAAGGCAAAAATGAAAAAAACTAACAATATTAACTATATTTCAATAAACTGTAGCCATCTATTTGAAAAATTAAGGCTGACATAGAAGATTGAGGCTAGAAAATGTTAAATCAATGGAGAAAAGGTATAATAATTTTGTATTTTCTGTAGTTTTAGGAGGGTATACACTACATACCTTGCTTGCCTTGACGGTCCGCCACTGGTTTTTACTCCTTGGGTTAAGAGAGGCAACATGGATAAAGCAGGTGGATAAAATTACCTTACCAAAGGGCATGCACATAAGTGTCTACCCCTAGAATCGAACGACCAGTCTTTTGATTGTAAGCCTAAAACCTTATCACATATAATTACTCACATGATTGCAATGAATTTGAATTTAAAAAATGGTAGGCAATTAATAGGTACTTACAATATGGAAGTGTCGGGTGAGATGAAAGCCGTCTAATGTGATATGTTGGTCTTCTTGCAATCTGAAAATATCACATAACTATTACAATATCATAATATTTACGTCAGAAGTTGTATTCAAGGTGTTGTTGGTTTAAATATTTATATTTCAATTATAGCATTTTGTGAGGTTTTCATGTGCATTTCTTGTTAATTTCTTGTTAACTTCTTGTTAATCTGAAACTTTTTACGTACAACATTTGTGCCTCGGCCAGTTTGGAAATTCGGACCATCTAGTAATCCAGGCAGGAGAGAGTTTGTCACCGTGCTAGCATTGGGAATAGATGCACTTCGCTCAGGTGGCATGTGATGAACCATAAGAAACTCATCTTCTGCAACAGTTGCTCTGAAAAAAGAGCAAAGATTCAAATTTGACTACATAGTCTGAAATATTTAGGATTCTTCTTCTTTGGCAGGATACACGGTTGGTATACATACAGGCTTGTACGAGAGATCTAATGTTCAGAACAATTGTGGGTTGCACAAGCCACTGCAGGGATAACAGACATTACATTTTCAAGACCCTAGGCTTAGAAATGACATAGCAATATTTTGGTAATAATGATACATAACTTACATATAGGTGAGGTTAAGACTCTTGGTTATAATTTTATGAACATACAGACACATATACAAGTTCACGCCTACCCACAATGGCTCATGATTGGAATTCTTTTATTGCATCTAGACAAACTCATTACCAACCATGCATCTACTATAGATATCAGAATCATACGCAGCACTACTGGGGATATGTATTCATAATCTTGGTATTGCTATTACTATTACTTATTCCTCATACTTTTTGATCATAACCCTCCTTATCACCACACTACAATCATCACCATCATATCACCACCATCACTATTGAAACCATTAAACCATCACCATCTCCAGCCACTACCACTATCATCATTATTACCATTTCCACTACTTTAAATTGATAGACTTTGAAATAGTATCTTGTTACTATAATCATTATTATTATTATTATTATTATTATTATTATTATCACATCTTCAGACTTATTTTCATATAATTTTTACCTTAGGAACATTTATGAGATGTGTACATGTCCACTTTAGTCTTGTTTCATTGTAATAATTTGATTTACAGTTCATCCCTTCCCTCACATACTATTATATGCATGCGACTTGTCAAGATTTTGCAAATTAATGCGAATTAGCAAAAATCAGATTATGTCAGAATTATCAAACTGTTAGTTATTATAAGTACAATATTTTAAATACCAACAATAATAATATTTCATGAAATAGTATACTGCACAGAATGTAGCAATAGCAAGAGTCATTACTGAAGCACATATAATTCAAATTTAAGTATTGTACAAAAAAAAACAAAAAAACAATAAAAATAACGTTTATGAAAATACTAATACAATATGAAAATGTAACATGTTACCTGTGCTATTAAGAAGTCTTCAATGGATGTAAATTGATATTATACTACAATTTATTTCTTAGGCTTAGGAAAGGAGAGGTGTTTTTTAGTTGAAACATGAATTAAGATAATGTTAAATTGATTACCGATTGTATACTGCACCTATTTAAAAACTAGTACACTGTGTACTGAATGTGCATGAAACCATAAATAATTGCAGTTTCTGGATGCCCAGGTGTTAACAAACACTAACTTTAATTAGAGACCTTCTGATCTGCAAAATAGGGATTTGCACTCATTTGTATCTGTCCTTCGTTCTCTGCACAACATTCATTGCGCCCAAATGTTCTAGCATGTGCAGATGACTTCTTAGTGATGTCCGTTTTAGGTTCTATTGTCGTCATGCAATTAAAAGTTCTCTCTACTTTAAATGGAAATTTTCATTCCTTTCTGTAAGCTACAATACATCATTGTGTATTGTCACAATAATGCGGCAAACAATTCAAAACAAAAGAAATTTCAATTTTGCATTTGTTTTAAAGTGCATACACCCACAAACACACACACACACACCCACCCACCCACACACCTACTTGCAAATACACGATATACAAATTGCAATGGTCATTATAACATACTGTACATTAATGAAACAAAGGAAAATTAGGTTGAATATGCAGAAAATTGTCAAACATTAACCTATTTAATACACTAGCTAGCAAATATGCAATATTATAATTGGATGAATTAACTCATGCTTGGTTTTAAGTACAGGTTCACGGCTAGTACATTTTAAAGTGTTATGTTACATTCATATACGCAATGCTAAGAGGAAGTGTTAACTTCTTTAAAATGTGTCTGGTGTGAAGATGATTATAATTTGTTTGTTTTTATTTCATGCTAAAAAATACAATACAATGAAAATCATGAAATTAAGAAAATACGAAACAAACAAAATGAATAAAAATAAACATATTAAACATTTAAATTAATCAACGGACAAATAAATATATTTAAATAACAATAATACAAAATATAAAGAGCAATAATAACAACTGCAAAAGACAATCACAACATACTGTATAAACATAATAATAGTGTAGATTTATATTGTGTCATATCCATCTAATATAAGATTTCACAGGGTACTTGATATGTGGACTAGGAACTCGATCAATGTCAGTCTGCATGGCATATATTATATGGTATAGTAATTAACTATAAACCAGGTCTTTCTTTGAAAATGACATATCATTAACAATGCAATTACTATCTCGAAAAGACATATTATACTGCACAAAATGCAGCAATAACAATAAATTAAATATTGAGCTCATATAATTTTCATTTAATTGTACAAAACAAAACAAAAAAACTTTTATGGATATCCTAAATTGTAGTAATAAACTACGACCGAATCACACTATATCAGTTTGTGTACAATGTATTGAGGGTGATGGTTAAGAGTGGGCGAGTCCGCATATTCAATTCTCAGGCAAGTAGACACAAAGGATGGTATTATTTTTTTTGTGAGTTTAAAAAAATGTTCAACAGCATTCTGAATTTAATGGTTGATATACTGTATGTTTTTATTAGTCCTATGTTTTTACAGTAGTCCAAATTAAAATAAATAATGCAAAAATGAGATGATAGATTGTCATAAATATATAGTAAAATCAACAGCAATTAAATAGTAACAACAAAACATTAACTATAAACTTGCACCATGTACATCAAGAAAATGTTTTCTCTGCACTAAAAATAAATATTATGATAAGGAATGCTAGGCAAGAAAAAATACAATCTTTCTTCTGAAAAAGTAGGGCAGCAATGAAAGTGATAAAGGTTTTGCAGAACTTAAACTTTTGCTACATCTGTAGTAAAGCTGATCTCAGATTTCGTATAGCTTTACCAGCATGCTTTGGTTTTAAAGGGGCTGGAACCAAATCTGGTTATTATGCTACAACCATTAGGAATCTTCAAAATTAGTAACAACTTTAACAATAACAAGTAAACATCTCTAAGATAAACTGGTAAAGTATTTTGTAGGTTTTTCTGATTTAAAAAAAAAAAGAAGAAAAACTGCAATTAAGGTGAGACATTTTTTATACGCTGTTTCGCGAACTTATTTTTTTTTTATCATAAGAGGGTGAAAAAAAAGTTGTTTTGTTTTGTTTTCATTTAGCAAATGATTTTGCCAAAAACAAAAACAGTGTAGTATTGGGATGGGTATATGCTTTAAATTGATATAATTAGGAAGAAATATACATATCGATTTTTGGATATTTCAAGGCAGCGGCAGTGTGTAATAAAAATAAAGAAAAACTTTTATTTTTTTCAGAAATTTCTATTTTTTTTTGTGGCGGCGGGTGTGTTAATTGGCCAAATATAAAATTCTATTTTTATTCAAAATCATCATTACTGGTGGGCGACGAGTTCACTAAATAGGGTATAAAGTCTCGTCTAATAGTCTGTATCATTTACTATTACTACCACTACAATTACTACTATTATTACATAATTATTGTTGTATAATAATACAACTACTACCCCAAAAAATGGAGAAAATAATATATGATTAGAGATGAACAGTGTTTGTAAAAAATCAAATACTGGGGAATTTAGTGTGCACCGTTAACATTAAACAAATTCTGTATACTTTCAACTTATCCTCGGGATGCGGAACGGCGCACTCTTAATGTTACGGAAATTGTGTGTCCTCCTTGGTTTGTTCAACTCATGTTTCTCGAGTGCATTTGCTTCATGCCTATTCAAGCATAACTAGCAAATACTCCTCAGAGAACAAAAGAGGATGCCTATTTATGTATAATTGATTCTAATAACCAAAATAATTTATGGGAAGCAGTTTGAGAATTAATGTGGAATCAAAATAGGCTATTATTGCTCTCATCATCATTAAGGTTATTATCATAATTGTTAATTTTATGGATACAGTATTACTATATTATCATTATTGTTTCAATAATATTTCTTATATTTTATTTGAAACTACTTACTGATCACTATTCTTATTCAAACAGAAATGTTATTATTACTGCACTGTTTATTATCAGTAATTATATTATAT